CGGACGCCTGTACCTGCAAAATAACGGAGACTCCTGAGAGCTCCGCCTCCAACGGTCAAGTTAGTACCTGATTAAGGAGTAATTAATACGGAAATTAAAGTAATAAGACCTCTCTATGTGAGAGTGTTTAATGTTGGTAATCTGCTTTGTTAGCGAGATTAGCCGGTTATTAGTGTTCCGTAATGTTTCTGTTCTTCTCTGTTCTTGATTTCTTGATTGCCTGATGTTTTCTTGACTCCTTAATTAATGAGGATTAATTAAGTATTTATAGTCTTGAGAAGCGTGCCACTCTCTAGGTTTAGGGTAAACCTAGGGCTGACCGGGCCTCTAGACAGGATTGGGCCTTGTTGGCCGGTTTTCCCATTTGGCATGGGTGGACACGTGGCGTGCCTCGATTGGTCCGTAGAGGACGTATCTGTGATTGACACGTGGCAGGCTCTTATTGGCCTTCGTGAAGGACACGTGGCGGAACCTGGTTGGTCCACTTGTCAGACGGTGATTGGTGGATAAAAATCCCCTAATCATAAATTATTTATTTTATTAATTTTTATAAATTAAAATGATTCATTTCATTCTAACATAAATTAATTATTTAAATATTATGTAAGTGTGCATAAAATAATATGGGTCATTAATTGAGGCAATAAAAGTGTTTTGAATTGGGTCTTCTTTATTTTAACAGTTGGATCAACTTGTTGGGGAATTGAGGACACTTAAAAGCCCAACAAGTTGGCCCCAAAGGAAGAAGTCAAGGGGGAGTAGGATTTAGTAATGACAGTTTTGTAATTATGAGTTTTTTTTTTAAAAGGGGAGTATAAATACTTTAAGACCTCATTTTCACTCAAAAATCATAATTGTCAGATTTCACAAAAAAAAATCCAAAGGTTTTCTCTTTATTTTCTCTCTCCTTTTTTCTCCTTATTTTTCCTTTCTTTTTCCTCTTCTCTTTCCTCTCCTTCTCCACGCCTCTCTCTCCCTCTTCTTCTCCCCTCACGCCGGTAGCCACGGACGCCAATACCAGCCACCGGCGACCACCGGCGACCAGCAGCAATAGCCGGCGCACCGCCATGCGCCACCCTCTCCTTATCTCTCCTTTTTGCGATTTGGTAGTATTAAAAAAAAAACTATTTTCTCTTTCTAATTTAATTCTATTGTTTTTATTAATTTAAAGTATGATTTTGATTATTTTTTGTATTGATTTTGGGTATTTGATGTTGTTAAATTATTTATATAATTTTCAGGTTTTTATTCAATCAAAAACCCCAATTTACAAACCCTAGAATTTGGGAATTTAATGTTTATGGTTAGGGTTTGATCCTAGGTTGATGTTGTTGTTTAATTAATGGTTTAAACATTTTTAATGAGTTTAAAGCCCTCAAATTAATGCTGAAATTTATCTATTGCACACTACTTTTTAATTATTGAGTTAGGGTTTGATTACCCTTAAAAGGGAAAAAGGTTTTAATGATTTAAATATGATTTTCTAGTCTATCAGTGATGTTTTATATGAAATAAGTATGCTGGAGTTTTATTTAAGTCATAAAAATTAAGTCTTTTTGAAAGGATTTGAAGTACCCACTTAAAGAAAAGGTTTTATGGATTTTATGTCATTAAATTGGGTTAATTAGTAAGGTTTAAAGAGTATTATAGTTGCTGGAAATATGTGAGAATAGTAGATTAATTATAGTTATGTATTCTTATTTGTAGGAAAATTCGACCTAGGTGATTTCTAGTGAGTGTGGCCCAATTTAGGCATTTTTCAAGGTACGTATGTGCACAAGAATATTTGTGTATGCTTAGTATCATGCTAGGATTTGTAAAGTATGATTTAAGCGATGAATTAGTAGCATGTTTGGTTGATTATATGCTTGAAATTGATGTTGGTTGAGCATGAATTGTTATGCAAGCATGTGAATATGTTATTTGAACCATGATACAAGTTGAGTATGTATGAATCATGGAAGTATGTTTTATTTTCAAATATTAAGAAGGCATGTATTTAATAAGCAAGGCTTATATATGAATTAAAGAGCTAGAGTTAGAATTATTGAGCATGATTCATGAATTTATTTCTCACCCATTTATTACTGGGGTTGAGTCAAGAAGTTAGTTAATTTATTTATTCACTCAAGTAAGTTGAGTTTGAGTCAAGGAAGTTTAGTAGTGCATTCTATGCACCAAGGTAGTAATCGTGCAATTTTGTGCACAAAACCAGGCAAGGAACCTTAATTAAAATAAAGAGTATGTGCTCACTAATTCATTCAAGAATGAATTGAAAGTATGTGTTGATTGTTGTCATGTTTACTCTTGATTAATTGTTTTGAGTCATCACATGTTAAATTGGTAATTCACGTAAAGTATAAGAGGATACACACCAAAACTTTTGGAACGTATATACCTTAAGTATGAACATATGGGGGGAGTCATGGGGTTTTATATTTAACCATAGTTTCTACAGGGGTACAGGACGCTGTGCTTTCTTTTATTATTAATGCGATGGAATTCCGTCACCAAGTGTGACATAGTAGGTGCCAATTGGGGTAGCTCCCTGATTGGAAGCTCAATATTTAAATGGGATATTTTCAAGGAAGGAAACACGTTCGATGCGTAATCCAATATTATTATTAATAATTAATATTGCTAGTTATGAGTCAAAGGTAAGTTGACTTGTGATTGTGTAGCGACCATGTTTTTATTATTTTTATTTTGATGCTAGGATATTCATGTTAGTGTGGTGCATATGTACTCAGCTTTGCTGATTCGTACTTTTGTGTTTGTGTATGGCTTATCTTTGGATTGGCCCTAATATGACCCATTTGTATGTTGAGTAGAGAGTTGAATAAAGAGGAAGTAACATGTACTTGAAGCATGAAGAGCATGATGGGATAAAGTGCAGAGAGTTACTTGTTATATATGTTTGTTAGTTTTAATGTTTTTGAATTATTGATTTGTTATGGACTAACAATATATTATGTTTGTTTTTAATTGGTTTTTAAGAAGGGTCATGTTTGAATTGGTTCCAACTTGTGGATGTTTTATTTTACTTTTGGTTTGAGGTTGTGAACTCAAGTTATATTTTTAATTAGTTGGATTTTGTTTAAGACTTCCGCTGTGAGACTTTGAAAACTAGTCGTAGCCGTTATTACGATGGCGGTAATATTTTGGTTATTTCCTAAAAAGGGTTTTATTTAGAGAGTATTTTAAAAGAATGAAATTTTCAGGGTATTACAAAGTGGTATCTGGGAGCTTTGGTTGGATTTTAATTACCACTAAAGCCAAAAACATTTTTCATGGGTACCTTTGTTTTAAAGATTGGCCACGTGCTTATTCAATTAAGTTTGAAAATATTTTTAAGAGGTTCAATTTTTTTTTAAGAAGGCCGAATTTTTATTTTTTTTTAATTAATTTAAATGGTCCGAATTTTATTTTTTTATTAATAAAGTCCGAAATTATTTTTTTAAAATAAAGGAGTCTGAATTTATTTTTTTTTATTATTTTTGGACAATTATTTTCGAAAAAAATGAAGTTCATTTTAAAATATATATATATATTTGTATGCACGTATGCGAAGGAATTAAGGTATGTAATTATGTGTTAATTGCTTTCGAAAGCATGTGGTGAGATTGGGTAGGAAAGAAAGGGCATATAGGTTAGAATTGTATGTCCTCCTATGTGCATATTTTATTTATGCAAGGTGTTCAAGCATGTTATATGATAATATGTATCTATGTGAAAGCATGTTTATGTGTAATAACCTAAATTGTATGATTGAGCACCGAACTTAAATTTTTGCAAGGAATTGTATATTGATTAAAAAGGAATTTTCTCTGATTGAGTCATAACCCGAAATACCTTGCAGGATTTTTGATTTACCTAGTAGATTCACTACCACAGGTACTTTAGTAAAGAAGGACTATGAGCATGTGTGGGATTATATTCGCAGGATTCGCTTTCATTGTACTTATAGATCTAATGTGTTTGGAGAGCGTAATCTTGACCAACCTGACTATGTCTCTGCCATGATTGTTCACTGTTTTCCTAACTATCCTCCCTATGAAGCTATTAAGAGTCGTTTTCGTGATTTTCATTTGCCTAATGGTGTAGCTAACTATACTAAGTATAGGGACTCTAATGGTCAGTGGGGAGCAGATTGGAGATATTTATACCGTTTCATTGCTCACAAAGAATTCATTTACCTTAACCCTCAGTATGCTTCTTATCCTCCTCCTTATCATAACTTTGGTGATCCTGCTCCACAACAAAATGCACCTTATTATTCTTCAGAAAACAATCATTCTATGTTTGATTCAGAACCTGAGCAAACTTATGAGAGTCAGGGTGAGCTAATGGAGCAAAATAATGAGTCTGGAGATTCTTCATGTGAAATCATTCCTTATCCAAATCCTCCAAGCCCTTCAATAATCATTAACTTAGAACCTGATGAGTCTAACGAAGATCTTGAGAAAGATGAGGTTAATGATGTGATCCTGAGTATAATCCAATGAAGTACAAGGAGATAAAAGACAAGATTGACAATGTGAACATTTGAAGATTTTAGACTAACTTTCTTTAGTGCTTTGAGTATTTATATTATTCTTCATTCGTAGTTACAGTTTAATAAAGTACTGCGTGAGTAATAAGTAGCAAAGCTACATTTGGGATATTCTAAAACATTTCTTTTCATTATTTCAATAAAGTATTATTTATTCTTCATATCTATTTTCAATTTCAACAACCTTATCAAATGTCATTTATTACCTTTATTTTCTATAAATGGTATCAAGGGAAATGACTTTGTGATGTATTAACCTAAGTGAAATGGTTGCATGACAACCAAAACAATATGTTAAATTAATTAGTAGGAGAAATGAGTAGTTGCTTCTACTATAATTCAGAATGACTGCTTGTATGCTTGAATTAAAGTAGCTTGGTTGTTGTTTAGTTATAAGAGAGTTGTGACCAACCTAATAGTAGTCATCTCTTTATTCAGGAGGACTAGAATGGCAGGGAGAAACAACAATAACAATGAACTGAATAAGGTAGTGAGGCAATCAGCCACTGTAGCTCAACAGTTAGCTGCAAGGAATAACAATAAAAATCCTGACCCTGCTGGGGAGTTGTTTAAGAAAATAGCCCAAAGCAAACCTCCTACTTACCAGGGAGAACCTGGCCCAATTATCATTGAAAACTGGCTAAGAGAATTTGACAAGTTGTTTGTGGCAGAAGCATGTCTTAATGAGTCCAAAGTGAGTAGTGCAGCTTATTACTTAAGGGGTGAAGCAGACCTGTGTTGGCAGTAGAATGTACAAGCTGTGAGAGCATTACCTAATTTTGGATGGAATGTGTTCAAGGAGCAAGTGAGGGATAAGTTCTACCCTATATTCATGCAGAAGCAGAAAATTGATGAGTTCCTGGAACTTAAGATGGGGAGTATGTCGACGACTGAGTATTACACTAAGGTTATCGAGTTATCTAGGTTTGCAGAAGATATTGTGGCTACTAATAGGCAAAAAGCTAGAAGGTTTGAGAGGGGATTGCCTCTTTCTCTTCAAAGCAAGTTGTCAGGACAAGTGTTTGACAATTTGGATGAGTTGTATGGTAGAGCAGCGCATTTACATGCATTAGAGTTGAAGGAGAAAGCTGAAAGGGCTGAGTTGGAAGCTAGGGAGAAAAGAAAGGAGCTTATGACTAGTTCTAGACCGTTTGGAAACCAGAATAACTTTAAGAAGCAAAAGTTTAACAATTACCAAGGCAATAACTTCCAGAACAATAGGAACAACCAAGGTGGGCGCAATTTCTCTAAGGGAAATAGGAACCAGCCTGGAGATTGTAACCAAAGGATATATTATTGTAAGAGATGTTCCAACAACCACCCGGGGAAAGATTGTGGGGGTAATTTAGTCACTTGTAACCTGTGCAACAAGCAAGGGCATAGGGCATATGAGTGCTTCTCTAAGAGTAAATGGGGTCAAGGAAACAACCAATTTAAGGGTAGTGGACAGAACTGGAATCAGCAGAAAGGAGGTCAAGGGAGCAATGGGAATCAAGTGAATAAGGGGACGCAGTTTCAGAATGGGAATAAGAACACCAATGGTGGTAACATACAAGTCAAGGGTGGAACACCACAAGAAACGAGTACCTTCATACCAAGGACTAGGACATTAGTTAAGTCATCATATATATATTACATAGTAATAAAAAAGGGACTTTGCTCCAAATCTCATACTCCAATACAAGAAACAAGTTGCAAAGAACTCTTTATACTCGTTTAAGTAGTAGGATATACCCAACTTTCATTCAACACCTTAAGACTCAAACACATGAGACCACAAGCCAAGAGAACTAGCAATTTGAGAACTAAGATAACAATAAAAATATATCTAGTAGAAAAATTTAGTAAAAGAGATGTGTTGATAATATCGATTGAAATTCACAATCAGAATTAAAACAGAGAAAAATGAGGCAAATTAAAAAAGGGTAAATTCATCGAAGCACAAATTAGAATAAGAAACCTTTACCCGAGCCAAGCATGAGAAATTCAGCAACGGATTCAGTGTACAGGGTTTGCAAATTCAGTAATTTAGCTACAGATTCAGCAAATTTAGCAAAAAAATGAGTATTAGTATACACTTCGTAGGTTCATGCCATTAAACAAAAATACTCAGTTTGATGACAAGTGACAAAAGATAGTATATACTTCATAGTTTCAATAGAAGAGGGCCCTCATCTATTATGATTGCTAACCAAATACATTGTTCATGAATGCACACCCCATCTCATAAAAACACCAATAGCAGCAACCAAGTGAAACATGACTTATTCTTTAAACAACTCATTGAGCTGAAAGCTTAACGTAACGACGAACAATCAAAATGAGAACTATAGTCAGCTATTAAATACATAATTCATCATAAACAAACAAACAAATCATTTGACCTAAAAGGGTCTAGAGTAATTCCAATAAATGAAACAAATATAACACTTTCAAGCCTTTTTATCATTCTTTAAGCAAGAAATGGCCAACCCCTAATCAATTTCTTCAATTTCACAGTACAAGCCTTGTTCACATCATACTAAACCTTAATCATCAAACAACTAATTATACTAATCAATCACATTTCCCACCATACCAATCAACAAAAGCAATTCATGTTCTCCAATCAAAGAAATCAAAACCCAAAAACAGAAAAGGAAAAAAAAAAGAGAAGAGTTATCGCGAATGAGAATGTTGTAGCCAGTTGACATAGAGTATCAACAACAATCAAACAGTAATCTGCACTAGCTACTGCAACAGATTTTCTGATTCATCCCAACACCAATAAATTAATTCAAAAATTAGTGTAAAAGAGGGGGAAAATTGAGGAATTTTGTGAAAGATAAATTGAATTACCCTCCATTGAAATCGTAGGCATACCAATTACCAAGTCCAAATGCTCCTTGGAAACCCAAATTAACTCCTAAAAACCAAAATAAAACCGAAATGTGTTAAGATACTGAATTAATAAAATTAAAAAGGGGGGAAATCAAGCACAAGGGGAAGAAACTGAACGAGTGGTAATATCGTCATTAGAAACACCGTAATCCAAATTAGAGATGTAAAGCTTAGTTCCAGTCTTAATTGAAGACGCTCCACCACCACCAATACCACCTTGATTACAAACTTCTCAAGCCTGTCTTTAGGAGAAAGCAGAGGTGAACTAGCGGCTTCTGACCTGAATACACAAGAAGAAGAGAAAGAAAATCAATTGAATCTATTAACAAGTCGAAAACAAATTACATTAAATCTAAAAAAAGGTCGAAACTTACTCGATTCAAAATCCCTAATCAATTATTTCAATTCGAACACATAAGCCCTAGAATCTGACCATGATTGATTATCACAATCACAAATTAAGGATAGAAAAGAGAACATAAAATAGAGAAATCGAGAAACAGCAAGTTAAACGGCGGTGACGGACCACAGGAAGAAGAAGAATGGTTCAACAAAAACCCTAATTAAAACTAACCAACCATAGATTTAGATCCAAAATCTTCTTAACAAAACAATACTAAAGTTCCCAAAAACTACAACAGAAATTAACAACAACAAAATTAAAGAGGTGAAAATTACCTTTCTGATTTTGTTGCCAGAGAGTACTGCGCTCATAATAATACATTGCTGCGACGACGGCGAACCGAAGGAGGAAGAAGATCTCTCATCTCTGAATCGAAAGTCGCCGGAGAGTGGTGCGTCGTGAAGTGAGCCTTGGTGAGAGCTTCAATCTTCTCCTCTCTTCTCTCTAGGTTTTTCTGAGGTTAGGGTTTTCTGTAAGGGGCGGCATATAGATGAAGCGAGCTGTTTTGGATGAAGTTTATTTTTAATTTATTCTTTTTATAAAATATTTCAACTTTTTGTAGCGCCCTAAAGTAGGGCACCCTGCAAATAAATTTATTTGTAGCGCTCTAAAATAGGGAATGCTGCAATAAACTTCTTATTTGCAACGTGCTTCACTTGGGAGCGCAACAAACTTTTTTGCAGCATTTTTTAGCAAAAAAAACGCTGCTATTAATTCACTAAAGGGTTGACCCGCGTTGACCAATCATTATTTGCAGCGTTCTGTACATAGATAGGTTTGCTGCAAATAGTGCGCTGCAAAAGACATCTTTTCTACTAGTGCACGACAAGAATCTTGTATAAAATTAAACAAAGCTTAAGTGCACTCACAAATGTTCGCAAAATCATTACCTCATAAGCGTCGTAATAAACACTAACATCCTTACTATTCATAGCACTATAGACTTCAACTTCACTTTTGGATTCAGGTTCATACTCAAAATCTGTTTCAGACATTGAATTGGACATTGATTCTGACTCATGGTTACTCTCAATTGGAAAATGTGATTTTGCGATTACCCCTGCCGCAAATCTTACTTCCTGAAAACAATCAGAAATTCCCAATGACTATAATCTACGATAATCAATCAAGAATTATTAGACCTACAACCCAATTAATTCAAAAAACGCAACACCCGAATTCAAATTCATCACAACATAAACCCTAAATTGTCACCTAACAACAACTACTACAAGTATTCCATACGGAAATTAATAATTACACAATAATCAATTATACTCAATGCTTTTTCAATACATGCATTATCAAGAATTATTAGACCTAAAACCCAATTAATTCCATAAAACGCAACACCCCCAAATTCAATAATCTTCAACTATAAACCCTAAATTGTCACATACAACAACTGATAAAGGTAGTCCAGAGCATAAAACCTAAATTTATACTACTTTTTTTTGCTATTCATTATCAACTTCGCTATAACCCTAGTTACAATTGCCAGAGAAATTTACGATTAAACTAACCTCTTCCCTTCATTGGAACAAAAATTCCTCCACTTCAGCTGAATGGGATGATGGCCTTACAGCGGAGGGTAACACTACAATCGCAAATGGGATGATGGGCTTAAAGCGGGAAAATGATGGACTTGGACGGAGAAGTTGAAACGGGATAATGATATTGAAACGGGTAGAAGGAACTTATATATGTGTATTGGTGTATGTATACCGTATATCATTACAATCATTACTTTCAAATGGATTTGAAATTCCCACCCTACCCCTGTGTTGTGTCCGAAATCCACAATACGGTGCTAGACTGAGCTTGACTCATGCTTGAGGACATCAGGTGCCCTTTTTCAGAATAAAAAAACAAAAATTGAAAAACTAATATAGTGATTGTTAAAAATTTGTGTAAAAATGTATGACAGTCTGGCTTATGATTATTACGAAACGGAGGAATTAGTTAGAGAATACCATGAGTCTGGTACAAAATTATACAGATTTGCTGTATAAGAAAATCAAATTAATTTTCCCGCACTCTTTCGCTATTGAACCCTTTCATCGGCGAGCACCACAGCACAGACCAAAATGCTGCACGAAATTCTTCTAGCATTGCTCGGATACACCGGCGACCTAATCGTCGACGAACGAGAATGCCGCGATTCCCTCGGAATTCTCTCTCCTGATTCTCCGGTCGCCGATATCCCTACCTTCAAGCTCGCCCCTGACCTCTCCTTCATTGCTCCCAGTGACAGGTTTCCCTTCATCACTCTCTCTATGTCTTTCTTCAATTGTAGTAATTTTGAGTTAACTGTTGAATTTTGTTGGAATTGTGGAATTTGGTTGATTTTTCAGGTATGTGATTGAGAGGATTATTTCGTTAGGGTTTTACTACAGGGAGTTGGATCGATTTGCTACTAAATCGAGGAACTTGAGCTGGATCAGATCGGCGAGTGCGAATGTATCGCCATTGGAAAAGAGTGAGGAGATTTCTAAGAGGAAGAGTGAGAATCAGAGTGTGTATCGGCGTGCTATTGCTAATGCTATTGTTGAGATTCTTTCGGTTTATCGGTCCGCGGTTTTGCAAATTGAGCAGAAGTTGTTAGCGGATCCTCTTCCCATTTTGGCCACTGTTACTCAGGGCCTCAATAAGGTTGTTCTTTCATCTTTTTTAGGCTTAATTCTTGTGGAATTTTATGTAGAAGCGAAAGTATTTTTCTGCTAAAATTAGGTATAGTATACCCTATTGAAATGAACATGTTTATGTCTCCAGAGAACATTCCTGCCTTATTGATGTTGAATTCGTAAAATAGTTTGAATTTACTTGGGTTACTTGAACTGTAGGTAACATACTTGACTCCCTATATTGACAATGGTATTTATTCTTAGAATTTGGGATGGAGGATAGTGTGATAAAGGGCTCATTTATAAAAAATTGTTGTGAGAATATATAGGTGAAAGCTTTCATTTTTATGATAAAGAGAATTGTTCTTGATCAAGTTGAGGTTTTTATGGGTAAAAGGAGATAAATAAGTAGTAGCAATTGAAAGATGATATACAATTTGCAAGAAATAAAGCTTTGCCCTTTTTTTATGAGTGGTGGTAGGTAATAAAGAAGGTTTGAGGAACTCAATGGGAGATAGTGAGCTCATATAAGACTTTCTCATCTTTTCGATATCAAACGGAAAATGTAGGAAAAGTGATTTCTTTTTAGGCATAAAAATTAAAGATATAGGGTAGAAAGTTGGCATTTTGGAGAGCTAAATTCCTCATTAGACATTGCATTCTGTCTCTTTGACCATCGATGAAACTTATTATGCCTCAATGTTCCCTAGCACCCCATCTGTTGTCCTAGAGGTTGACTTGCTAGGAATCTTGATGACTTGTTTGATAGCCTCTATATATGGCAGTCAAGCCAGTGTTGTCCCTAGTAAGGAAACATCAATACTAAACATGTGTTTTTCTACATACAAATTCTTATTACCACTCACTATCAACTTTAAAACTGTAATGGAAAATTACAAAGAAAATATATGTGGGGTGGATTGGATTTATCATGGATATTGGCATGAGACTTTCTTGGCAAAATTAAGTATATATTCAATAGAAATTACTGCAATTTTATACTACTTACTAAATGATCCATGAGTTCCATACAAAACTGATCCTACTCAAAACCTATCTCTATCATTTCCCTAAGGTGAAGTTTGTGACTTTAAGTATACAACCATTCTTCCAATCACCAAATGATTTCTAAGGCAATCACAAGTCAAACAAACATTAATCCCTCATAATTTGTATTGTTGTCCAACCTTTTGCTATACCATGGAAGATGGGATATACTGAACAAAGCTAGAAAAGAAATTAACACATTTAACATAGTATATATTAGCCGAAGAGATCAATATGTAAGAAAATTGTGCTCAACCTTTCCAAATATCTGACCTTAAATCTCACTTTCCTCCTACTTATGATTTCATGCAAGATGCAACGTTGGTGGCTACTTCTTTCAGTTAGCCAACAGTCACTTTCCTTTTCTTCGCTAACAACGTATTGTTTTCATATTGGCCCGTCTCTTCCCATTTCCCCGAAACTTAGAAATTTATCTTGGTGGATAGTTTATATAGGCACTCAAAAGACACCTTAAGAATTTTGTCAGTGATATCGTGTGTGATTCTTGGTCATCTGGCTTGCTAATACTGATTATATAGAAACTTTAGAGGGTATAAGGGATATAAATCAGAGTAAAAAGAGGAAAATGGGCACTTAAAGAAAAACAATGAGGTAGTGACTGTATTGTAGAGAAGAGGGAGAACAAAGATGTTATGTTGAAAATCTGAATGCTATGTAGTTGATGTCCATATAACACCTCACTTAAAAGCAATATTTATAAAATGGAGATCGGATGGATCACATAGTTGGCAGATCTGCAAGCCCCAAATGTGCTAAACTACTTTAGAGGCTTTTCTAGTAATTCAAATAGATATTAGCTTAAAGTGAAGACTCTACGCAGATAAAGTAAAAAGTAATATAGAAATGTACGGGAAGCTTTCCCTAGGAGTTATGCAGGTATGTGAAATTCATAAAGCCATGGTGCTGTAGGCCATGTAGCAAAGATAACCAAATAGACATTCTTATACAATAAAGCTATCCATCACTGAGGGAGCTAAATCAACAATTGGGTCAATCCTAACTTCTGTACATTGTGTCCCCAAAAGTGGCAAAAGTGGGTTCCAACAATTGGGTCAATCCTAACTTCTGTACATTGTCTTGTATATCTATCAATTAACAAGACTGTCGTCAAATTCACTATTATAAATCCCATACTAATTCTCACATAGTTGCAGTTCTCAACTTTAGCAACTTTGTCTTGAGGGGAAAAATAATATCTTTTTGAACTTGTTATCTCCTTACACGGTGGAGTATTGTGACCTTTTTATTTATTTTTAAAGTTTGTGTCACATAATTTCAAAGTTGTAACTGAAGGATTTTTCTCCAGTTCTTTGTTCTTTTGCCTCCTCTTTATGAGCTTATTTTAGAGATAGAGCGTGATGATGTTCGTGGAGGAAAACTTCTCAATCTCTTGCATAAAAGATGTCATTGTGGGGTGCCTGAACTTCAAACCTGCCTTCAGAGGTAAGTTAATACAGAGTAATTCAATTTGGAAAATCTGTTTTGGCCTGTTTTCCTGGTCACATGAATTTAGTTTACTTCTTTTCACTATTATTATTAAAAATTTGAAAAGATGAGTTTTGGTATAGTCATTTATCTGATAATAGTCCATCATATATAGTCGATTTGACTTTTGAGAAATGGAGTGTTTGGGTTTGGAATAAGGGGGTGGGGAAGAAGGGGCAACCCCATTTAGCATGATGATGTTCCTCACTGCAGAAGCCTTGCATTTAGCATACTCAAAAGTCAGTGCAACTTTGTTTCTTTGTTAGTGAAAGCTTAATTAGAGTTGGTATTTTATAATCTTATTTTTTAAGAGTAATCTATGATGACTGTATGACGTTTCAAGCCATTTACGCAACTAAAAAATGTGACAGGCCTATGGTTGGTGATTGAGTTGGTTTCCTTATAAAGAAGAGGTAAGTTTCAAAGATGCTTGATCTCTTCAACTTTTTGACTTAGTTTTCGGCAGGCCTGACTCTTGGGCAGTTTACTCGGACCTGCACAACAGGGCCCCCAAAACATTGGGGCCAAAAAAAAAAAAAAAAAAAAATTCTCTGAGTTTAAAAACAAAAAAAAAAATTAAAATAATAATAATAATAATTTTCCCCTAATTACCGATTACAATGCTCACCATTAACAACAATTCAACAAACTATTCACAGCCTAAAATTTTCCGAGGTTATAAATGCTTCTTATTCTCTTTTTTTTTTTTCCCAAAATACAGTTTATTCTCTTAATTATCACTCCCATCTTCCCATATATAGTTTCCTTGACTTGATTTTATTTTTTTATTTTTTTTTTTTTTTTTCAGCAAGCAAGTATGAGGACACCATCTATTATCATGATTCATGTCTATTTATTTCAATTTCTCAAATAATCTACCCTAAATAATTATGTTTAATGGCATCT